GCGAAAGTTAAATTAATCTCTACTAATTAAATGTATATATAAGGGCATATAACTAATTAACCTTATATTTAAGAACTGCAGTTAAAGTGATATTAGTGAAGAAGTAGTGATTTAAATTGGGGTTAAAGCCTTTATAACAGTTATTTTATATCTGTTATATAGTCTGGCTAAAATATAGCCGATCTCTAGCTTATCTTTAGGAGTAAATTAATTAAAGGGTAAATACTATTATAAGTATCTATTATATTATATAAGGATAAAAGATACAGTAAGTTTAATATAAATAAATTTTAAAATTAATTAAAACTCTATAATTAAAATTTCTATTAAGTATAATATTATTTATATAATACTATTTTAATCTTTAAATAAAATAAAGACTTTATTACTTTTTAATTTTAATTTTTTAATAATATTTTTAACTATATAGAGCAATTTTCCCTAATTTAAATTACTACTTCTTTACTGATATTACTTTATCTATTCTTAAATATAAGGTTAATTAGTTATATGCCCTAGTATATATATTTAATCAATAGATTTATTATTAACTTTAAATTAATTTAGCTTTTACTAACTAAATTATATAAAAGTTAACCTAATTCCTTTAAACCTTTAAACCCTATTATTACCTTATATTTATCCCTTTACTTTTATAGTCTTAAACTATAACTGGCCTATTAACCCTTATATAAGCAGGAGAAAGTTAAGTATATACTTAGCCTTACTAATTATATTCTATAGCTACTCTTTATAGCTAGCTAAGCCTAAAAAGGCAGTTAGAAAGATAGCCTAATTAGTTATTAAAGTCCTATCTTACCTTATAGCTTCTTTTAGGTCTTTTAATTATAATAGCTCTTTAGCTAGTTAATTTAAAGATATTATATAAATTAAAATAGTTAAATCTATATAATAAATTATATTAATTAAAATATAATTAAAAATAACTATTTTAATTAAGCTAGATTAATTTTTTAATAAGAAGTTTTTCTTAATAGCTATAGTTATTATATAAAGCTTATAGTATTTATAGCCTATAGCTTTTATTAATATTAATTTAAATATATTAATAAAGTTATAATTAATTATATAATAGGCCTAATTAGCCTATAGGCTATTATATATAAAAGTTATTATAATAGTAGCTATAATTAATATTAATAACTATAACTAATAGTTAGGTTAGGGAATATACTTTATAATAGACTTAGCCTGATATTCTCTGTTAATACTGACTTTCTATTAACGTTAAAGAGGTCAATTTAAGATCTTTTGGGTAGGGTGAAGGAAGAAGGCTAATACAGCTGCCGAGGGGTAAGCGGTATTAATACTGCTTGATTAAGGCAGCAATTGCGCTACTAAGGCAGATAAACCTTATATGATTTTGACCTACTATAGGGGCCTCATTATTTAAGCCTTTGTATATAAAGTTAGAAGCTTGATAGCCTTATAAGGCTGACAGCAAGGGGGAAAAAAAATATAAAGCAATTTTAAATAGTTTATAATACTTTAATTAGTAAGATATATTTCCTAAGCTATACCCTTACTTAACTCTCAGTAAATTTATTTTAGTCTGATTTATTTTTAGTTTTTTATCATAACCTTTTCCTCTTTTTTCTCTAATATAAAAACCAATCCAATACTTTAATATACTATGGCCCAGCCAGTGGTGGATAAGGAAGACTATCATTCCTGGATTAATGATAACGCCTTCCGGCATGCTCGCTTTCAAGGAGATCCTCAATATAACCGTAGCGTTATCCAGCGACTAGACACAACAATATCTCTCCTAGACGGCCATAGACCTAAGAAATGGGGCTTTGCTATTATACGCACCGCTTATGGCCCTGGATCGGATAAAAAATTCGAGCATGCTCTTGATATTATAAACAATATCGCCCAGCATTGGGCTGAAGCCGAAGTTGAGGGTCTCAAGTTCCGGATTACCCGTGGCAAAGAAACAGACTTTCGATATAGGGATGTCCCTATTGAGGTTGTCACGCGCCCAAATGAGGAATTAGTACGCCGGTATGAGAATGACGTCCTGGAGGATCAGAATTTGGATAACGCCTCTTTGGCTGCGGTGCGCGAATATTTCAGGACCTGGATTGCATCCAAGGGGGGCAAGTCGAACGTTGGGAATACACGATATGTTGCGTGCATCATGCTCGATGCAGAGACCCTCTCTCAGCTTGCTACGGCGCCTAAGGGCTTTCCTCACGGCTGTGATGTTTACAGCTCCTCATATTGGGTCAAGAT